TACCCAGGCTGGAGTGCAATGGCGCAATCTCGGCTCACCGCAACCTCTGCCTCCTGGGTTCAGGCAATTCTCCTGCCTCAGCCTCCTGAGTAGCCAGGATTACAGGCACGTGCCACCATGCCCAGCTAATTTTTTGTAGTTTTAGTAGAGATGGGGTTTCACCATGTTGACCAGGATGGTCTCGATCTCTTGACCTTGTGATCCACCCGCCTCGGCCTCCCAAAGTGCTGGGATTACAGGCTTGAGCCATCGCGCCCGGCCAGATTTCCTTTCTTTTGGATATATACCCAGCAGTGGAATTGCTGCATCACATGGTAGTTCTATTTCTAGTTTTCTGAGGAACCTTTATATTGTTCTCCATAGGGGCTGCACTAATTTACATTCCCACCAACAGAATACAAGGGGTCCCCTTTGGTACATTCTCCCCAGTATCTATTATTCCCTTTTTGATAATAGTCATTTTAACTGGGGTGAGATGATATCTCATTGTGTTTTTGATTTGTATTTTTCTGATAAATAGTGATATTGACCATTTTTGGGCTATACCTGTTGGCCATTTGTGTGTCTTCTTTTAGAGATGTCTGTTCACATGTTTTGTCCATTTTTAAATTGGATTACTTGTTTTTTTTTTTTTGCTATGGAGTTGTTTGAATTCTTTATACATTCTGGTTATTAATCTCCTGTCAAATGAGTAGTTTACAAATAGTTTCTGTCATTCTCTCTCTGTTTGGAATTCCTGGGCGCAGACACCCTCGGATTTGCAGCTTTCCGCTTTTGACTGCAGTGTTGCCTATTCCTGGTGCTTAGCAATTTGCCTCCTTTATTAAATACTTGCCTTCTGTCAGTGCTGTGTGAAGGACTCTGGGAATTGCATCATTTCATCCTTGCATGAAGTTGGGACTGTTTTGTTCTCAGTTTACAGTTGAGGAAATTGAGGCACAGAGTGGCTGAGCTGCCCTCACCCAAGCTGCTGGGGCTGTGTCCTGTGGGACCAGCCATGGAGCCCATGTCCCATGGCTCCTTTAGAGCTCTTGCATGCCTTCCAACGCTGCTTCCCATGCTGGAGGCCTACCGTGCTCTACTATATTTAAGTCGGCTCCTGTCCAGGCATTTTTTCCATGAGTTCAGCAAAGATTTCAGCTGCTTGGCCCTGTGCTGAGAGATGGGATACAGCAGTAATCAGGGCAGATAGGATTCCTGGCCTCAGAGCTGCTGCTTCTTGGGGAAAGGGACACAAAAAAAGTTGGCAGGAAGAAGAACAGCACTAGCAAGCCTGATGTGTTCTGCATAAGAAGAGGCAGCCAAGGGCTGAGCTATAGACTCGCGTGGAGAGGGTCTGGAGTGGGCCAGGTGGCCTGATGGGGAGTGTTGATGCTCCAAGGAGGCTATGAGCAGGGGAAGGCGGAAGGTGGCCAGGGCCACAGGTTTGAAAAAATTCCAAGTACAAGGCAGAGAGCATGCAAAGGCCACGAGGGAGGATAGAGTTTTGAGAATTTGGAAGCCAGGCAGGTGAGCAAAGTGACTCCAGCATGGGACAACAGTGTCTGGGCAGCCTGCAGATGAGGCACGAGCCCCATGGGTCAGGCCTGGCAGCTGTTGCTGGGAAATTGTGTGCATTTGAAGTACAGAGGGTGACGATGTCATCTGGTGGGCTCCCCAGAGCTAGAGCTGGTTGAGTGGGAAGCAGTGAGGATGCTCAGAGACAGGGCAGCTGAGTCCCAGTTCAGATGCGGGGCAAAGGCCTGGAGTTGGCAGCAGAGATAGAAGGAAGTTTGCAGCCAATGAGCTGTGGTGGCAGATGACATGGAAGGAAGGCGGAAGAGCAAGTTAGGCATGGAGAACTCTGGTTTCTGCCTTGTGCAGTTTGGTGGGTGCCATGAACTGAGGGAGGGGAGGGAGTTAGGCAGGCACATTTAGGTTGCTTCTAGTTTTTCTGTATAAAATGTGTAGTAAACATTCCTTGTATGTATGTGTATGTGTACAGGTGTGTACGTGTGTGAGTCTTTCTGTAGGATAAGCTGTTCCAAGTAGAATGCCCATGCCTGAGACTAAAGCCTGAAAGCTGCTGCCCCGGCTCCCGCGGGCCTCCCCACGCCTGTATGGTATGACCCCTCGCCAGTTTAGAGGAGCCCTGTCACTCTTCAGGCCATTCTCAACGCTGGGTAGTCCTGGTCCTTTTCATTTTCAGCTATCGATTATAGCTCATGTTTGTGTATGTCTCCCTGCCTCCCAGAGAAGTTCAGATGTTTCACATGTCTGCTTCGCAAATTGCTTGCTTGTATCCTCTCCGCATTTTTATGATGGACTGCGTATATCCTACCTGTTATTTCAATAAAGAAGAGATTAAATGCAGATTGTTGGCTGCATGGCACTGCAAATATTTCGTCCCAAGGCTTTTTGCCTGTCTTTAGATTTGTCTGTAGGGTCTTTTGCTGAACAGGAGTTGGTTTTTTCTTCGTGGCTTCAAGGTTAAGAATCTTGCCTATGAAGGTCTTCCTCACTCAGATTTTATAACCTCCTTCTTCTCTATTATCTCCTAGTAGTTTAGTAGTTCTTGTAATGTTTAAGTCATCATTCTCTAAGGCACATGTGGGCGGCAAGGATATGACCTTGGGATCTTACTGAGCGTAAGTTGTCAGCTGTCCATGACCTTATTTTTAATTTATGTGTCATCATTCACCTCCGTCTACATTCTCTTACTGTATTCTGTAGATGGACATGTCTCTCCCTGTATCTGTAAATCAACAAGCTGAGTTCCTTGAAGAGAGGGCCTTCCTTGGGGTCATATTGCTTTAACTCACTGATACGGAGGTAGAGTGGCCCTCAGCAAAGTGAGGGCTTCCCTTCAAAGGAGGTGGTGCGTTTCTATCCTTCTGGTCTTCTTCCGGGTTCCTCAGAAGTTTACCATTTTCTTCAGAGGATCTCGTATATATTCTTAAGTGTGTTATTTTGGTTGCTTCTGCGAATTAAATCATTTTCACCGTTAGACTTACTAGGTGTCTTAGAGCTGTGGAGAAGGGCTGGGAAGGGTTTGTAGCTTGCTCTAGGATTGCAGTCCTATTAAATGTTCACATTGCTTCTAATTATTTTTCAGTGTATGGTCTTGCATTTCATCTGTAAATAGTGATGGTGTATTAGTCTGTTCTTGCACTGCTTGAAGAAACACCTGAGACTGGTTAATTCATCAAGAAAAGAGCTTTAATTCACTCCCAATTTCGCAGGCTGCACAGGGAACCTGGCAGCGTCTGCTTGGCTTCTGAGGAGGCCTCAGGAAACCTACAATCAAGGTGGAAGGTGACAGAGGAAGCAGGCACATTTTATATGGCTGCAGGAAGAGGCACATAAGTGGGGGGAGGTGCCACACACTTAAACAACAAGGTCTTGTGAGAACTCCATCACAACAGCACAACGAGGATGGCACCAAACCATTCATGAAGGGTCTGCCACCATGGTCCAGTCACCTTCTACAGGCCCCACCTCCATCCGACACTGGAGATGACAGTTTGACATGAGATTTGGTGGGGACATGGAACCAAACCATATCAGATGGTTTTTAAAAAGCCATTTCAGTGGGGGGATGGAGGCAGCAAACCACCATGGCATGTGTATACCTATGTAACAATCTTGCAAGATCTGCACATGTACCCAGAATTTAAAGTATAATTAAAAAAAAATCTTTTTCAATTCAACATTTACACCTTGTTTCTGTTTCTTATTTCACCTTATTTTCTAGGCCTCTAGGATAGTTATGGCTGATACTGCCATTGTAAGAGCTTTCAGGCCCTAATTGTAATGGGGATGTCATTTGTGCGTCTTCATTACGTGTGCCACTTGCCTGCTGGAAGTTTTGGGTAGATGCTTTTTATCCGGTTAAGGGGGTTCCTTATTTATACCTCATCACTAAAATCTTTAATTATTGGCAGGCAGGGGATTTAAAAAGAAATTCTGTTGTCTTCTGTGCTTTGGATTTCAGGCTCACTCTTGTAGCTTTTCTTTCTTTTCTAGCAAGCAATTGAAAGAATCAAAATGAAGAGAAGCCTTACAATAATTGCAAAAGTTTTCTATCTTTCTCATGGTACAAATAATATTTTATGAAGACCACAAACTGTTGCAGGGATTCAAACGTCCAGGTATCTGTTGACTTGCCTCTTGGCTCTGCTGTTGATTAGCTGTGTGGCCTTGGCATGTAATTACCGTCTTCCTTCTAGCCTTGTTTTCTGCATCTGTAAAATGGGGGTAACCGTGCTGCCTCAAAGGATTGATACCTAGTTGTTCTTAATTAAAAACCACCTATCTTTGCATGTTGTGTTTTGCGTCTCACATGCCTTTTACTTCCTTGAATTTGATCTTCGAAAAGCCCTCCCGTGAGAGATTGTAAAGCATTTGGTAAGTTTCCGACAGGTCATAGGTTGTCAGTCAAGAGTGGCTGCCCTTTCCATGGGTACAGTTATCATAGCTGTCACCATCATCTTGGGTGGCATTATCCGAGTCAGGAATGGCCGCGAGCCCTGGGATTTTAGTCCCAGGGATCCTGTATGCTCGGTTGTGGAGCGAAGACACGTACCACTCTTGTTTCAGCTTCAGCACGTGGTGCCACGGTAAAAATACTCATGTTCGTAGTTGCAGATTTGACTCTTCCGGATGAATAGTAGCATATATTTTTGTGCCAAGTACACACTATTTTAACTACTTTTGCTTTAGGGTGCATTTTACTATGTGATGAGTAATTCTCCCTTAATGTTCTATGCTTGACCATCTTACCACTTACTTTGTTAGTTTTAGGATTATTCCACTGGTTCTAAGAAAAACTCAGCTTGAATTTAGATAGATATATACTGCATTTCATTTATAAAGTTGTTTTGGATATTTGTATTTTAAGAGAATTAATCCTTATTATGTTTAATCTTTCCATTTAGGAACTAGCGTGTTTCCGTTAATTTAGGTCTTTTTATATCTCCTAAGTGCTATGATATTTTGTGATTTGTATAGGATTATTCTTAGGGCTAACGTAAAATGTGCATACATATATATAAGCCATTATGAGTGTGGTCTTTTCTGTAGGTTTTCTGCTGAGTCACTGTTCTGTGCACGTGTGCATGTGTGCATGTGTATTTATCCTGCCTCTCACCGATCTGCTGGCCTTTGGCTAGTTTTAGAGCAGTGTTCTGCCTCTATCTGGTAGGCAGCCTCTCACCTCCCTGGGCTTCTGGCCTGTGTGGCCGTGGGGTTATCATGCTCTCTGGCTAACCCATCTTTGTGCTTGCTTGGCTGGTGGCTCCTGGAGGCCCCACACTGAGGATTGTTGGGCATGTTGGTCCTGCTTGACCTTGAAGTTGAGACTCAGATGGAGCCTGAGCCTGTTTACACATTTTGGCTAAGTTTTGTTGGTTTCAGTGACGGTGGCAGTTCAGAAGCTGTTCTTGGGGTGTCCGTGCTCTGCCTCCTGGCCATTCACTGTCTCCATGGCCCTCTCCTGGTGTCTGTTGGTGGACAGGTTAGTGAGGAAAAGACCTTCCTAGGATTGGGCCTGATGAATAGGTCCCTGGCGGCTGAGTGGCTGCTGAGCCTTTCTGCATGTTTGGTGAATTGAAGGTACAGCCGCCCTCCTATTCCACAGGTTGTGCATCTGTGGCTTCCGCGTCCTTGGATTCAGGTAACCATGGATAAAAATATTCAAAAAACCCCCCAAACAATCAAATATAACAATAAAACTTAATTCAAATAAAAATGATGCAGCCTAAAAGCTATGTTCATAGCATTTGCATCGTATCAGGTATTGTAATTCATCTAGAAATGTTTTAAAGTGAGTGGAAGTGTGTAGGTCATACGCAAATACTACTCCATTTTATATGAGGGACTGGAGCATCCTCCGATGGATTTTGGTGTCTGTGGGGTCCTAGACGCAATTTGCCATGGGTGCTGAGGGACCATGTTGGCAGTGAGGTGGGATGGTTTTTGTTTTTGCTTCCTTCTGCTGCCGGCTTCCATGGGCCTCCTGTTCTATCATCTTCACCAGGAAAGGATCTGTGGCTGCTGGGTTTACATTACTGAATGAAGATGCCAGAAGATACACCTGATAAAAGTGGTGTGAAGTGTGTGGCATTTCTTTTCTTTTGAGGCAGGGACTCACCCTGTCACCCAGGCTAGAGTGCAGTGATGCGATCTCGGCCCAGTGCAGCCTTGAGCTCCTGGGCTCAAGTGATCCTCCCACCTCAGCCTCCTAAATAGCTGGGATGACAGTTGCCCACCACCACACCCAGCTAATTTTTTAAAAAAGATTTTTATTTGTAGAAACGGGGTCACACTATATTGCCATAACCGATCTCAAAGCAAACCTCTAGCCTTGGTTTCCCAAAGCGTCGGGATTACCGGCGTGAGCCACTGTGCCCAGCCTGTATTTCATAGTTAATTGTTTCAGCTTTAAGCTGTCCACAGGTTCTGGCAATAGCATTCTGAAATTTTATAATTACTTTTTAGAAATGTGCCTTTTAATTCCATTCTGTTTACATATTTCTCAATTTGTCTTCATAAGCACCCTCTTATTCTGGGAAAACACAGTTGTCTCTGCTATCAGTACAATATGGAGTTTAATTTTTTTTAACTAAAAGTATTCTGGCATTCTGTCCGCTTCTGAGAAGGCCTAGACTTCACTGGCCGAACGGGCTGAATACCCTCATCATGAAAGTTAAGATTTGTCGAGTGTCTAAATAGTCACTGTTATTACTCTAAATATTCAGTGTGAGAAAGCTAGACAGAAGGAAAACTTTATATAAGCTTGGGAATTTTTGGAAGATATCAAAGATACTAAACAGAAATCAAGAGGCCCTTTGTTTCTGGGATATTTTGGAAGTAAGTTAAGACGTTATTTATTTTTGCCCAGGTTAGTATATTCTTTAAGATCTCAAGTTTATGTGATGTCCAACTAGAAATCACATAAGAAGCCTGTCCTGACTGATAGGCAGATAGCCGCATGAGCCCTTTAGACTCTAACTTCTGTCGGGGTAAGTGTGTGAAGCCTCCTGGTCTGTAGTCGGGCTGTTGGTGGTCTGGGTGTTGGTGCTAGATGGGGCCACCGTAAACAGAGCCGAGAGGTTGTGTTTGCATCAGGCTCTCCCCTGTGTGTCGATGGGCAGGCACTGAGGTTATTGAGGAGGCATTGTATCCTGTATTTTACTAACTCTTCTCAGTTTATCAGGTTCAAAGATCACATTGTCTTTTTGGTCAACTGTAAATATCAACTTCCTTGAAAGTAGACAAAAATGGGTGAAGTGGCATTGGGTTTGATAGGGCAAGTATATTTCATTTTACCTTAATGATGTATTTAATTTATCTTGCCCATGAGAAAAAGCAAATCTTTTAAGCACATGTCTTAAAATTTGAAGCCACATGCCTGAAGATGCATTGGGAGGTGGTCCTGGCATTCGAATCAGAATCAAGGGAAGGATTAGGCTCTCTGGAAATGGAACACGCATCATGATATGAGAATTAGCGGTGCTTCATACGCTGTCGTGATGGTGACCCTAAGTCCATTTCCCAGTGCTCCCATTGCCATGTCATAGACCCTCAAACCTGTTTGACCCTGCATCTTTTTTTCTTATCTTGTAGTCACTTAAGCTACTAGAACTTAGAAATATTCTGGTTGACATATTCATCTTGATATTTTTCAAACTTCCAGTTTCTTTGAAAGGGTTAGAGCAGGTACCCTTAAGAAAATGCTTTTGCATAGGCAGATGATGCTCAACTTTGATCAGTGTCATAATCATGTATCACATATCTCCCCTTTTGGTCCTAAAAAGACCAGCATCCCCTTTAAACATTAGCAAGCTTCATAGGTTGCAGGTGACTGTTGTGTTTCACACCTGAAAATGGGAGAATTCTTTGTGGTGTTGTAGTTAATGATGACTAGCGCATTTGTTTAATGTTTGCTATGTGTTGGGCCCTGTCCTAAGTCTTTACATGCATTAGCTCATTTAATCCTAATAAAAGCTCTGTGAGAGAGATACTGTTTGCATGCTGACTTTATAGTTGGGAACACTGAGCCCCAATGACTCAATAATTTGCCCAGACATCAGCCGCTAAGGGGTGGTATCTGGAGATGAACCAGGGCTCTCTGGAGCCTGGATTCTTAGGAAGCAGGTTCAGTGGGTCTTGTTCTAAAAAACAGCCATTTGATGGCTATAGTTGCACATTGGTCTTTTTATTTCTGGGCCCAGGACTTCTTCATATCAGGTAAGAGGCAGGGGCAGGTTTCATTTTCACCATTTAACGATTAGGAAAATGTAGCTTCTGAGTCCTTCATGGAGGGATCTGTTGAGAGCACCCACCTTGCAGGCAGGGGACCTCCTCCATCCAGCACAACAGTGATGGGAGGCTCCTAGGTGGCACCCTTGCTGCATGCCAGTCACACTGCTACGTCATTCTGTGAGTTTGATTTAGACATGTTGAAATCCAGTGGCATTCCAGTGCAGTGTATTAAAATCCTCAGTGAGGTGGGTTTCATCCCATGCCCTGCAGTGGGGCCAGAGCCAGGGAAGACCAGCCCAGGTCACTACAGAGTCTCCTCTGGCAGGGATTTGACTTGGTCTCCACCCTCTTCTCCACGCCAAGAACACACCTGTGGACTGGGGCCTCTGTGCCTTGAGCTCTCAGTTCATAAGACTTGAATGATGAATCCAAGATCAGAGCCAGGATTGGAAGCCCAGGTCTGCCTGCTCTGCACCCCGCTTGTGGATGCATGTGTACCATGCAGAATGCCCAGCGGGGTCTCTGTTGAGAACACTAGTGCCAGGCACTGTGGGCTGGGGCCAGGTCTGACACGGAGGCAGGTCCCTGCTGGGTGGGCCAAAGGTTGTGGCCTGGGAGAACTCTGAGAAGGACATGGACTTTGACAAGTGAATTCTAGGTAACTTTGCCTTGCAAGAGGTCAAAGGTCTGTGCCCTTCGTACCCTGCCGGCCTTGGAGGCAGCTTGCTTTGGAGATGCAGAGTTATTCAGGCAGTGAGCGGAGAGCCCAGGACATCTTCCCTCTGTCCTCTGTCTCAGCATCACATGGCAACTAGAAAGCTACATCTTATGTTGTCATGTCTGTGTTTGGTTCTTTGGAACACTCTTTTAAATGATCTTCTTGGAAAAAAAAAAAGTCTTTTATGTCTGTTTTAAAAGTTTTATTCCTGGGCTCAGAATATAAGTTCATTTGTGTAAATTCTACAGAAGTTCAGTGATGGCCTCTTTGACTTTCCAGCTTTGGCGCTGACCACGATGCTGAGCAGGAAGCAGCAGCCGCAGGCCCAGTGACTGGCGGCTCAGTAACCAGCAGCCCGGTGACCGGCAGCCAGGCCTTCACCTGGGTCCTCTCAGTGAAGCCAGGGTGGCCATCCCAGCAGGCAAAGCTACTGAGCTGAGCCATCTCCTGACAGGTAATCCCTGTGCGTGACACTAGTCACTAGTGCCTTTCTTTGCAGGAGAGTCGCCTGCTCAATATTGATTAAGGTGGTCGGTGAATGCGTGTCACTGTAGGTAGAGGCTTGATACTAGACCCTTTATTCCAAAGGGAGTCTCCCGTCTCTGTTCCCTCTCTCCCACTCCTCGTTGGCTTGGCTCTGCTTGGGGACACCGGGCTGAGTCAGGAAGGGACGGGAGAGCATGGGCTGCAGCAGAGCCAGGCTGTGCACATGCTCCTTACTGACGTGCCTCTGGGCCTCACGGGTCTCCCTATGCCCTTCTGTAAAGTGGGGGTGACGCTGCCTGCCTCCCGGGTCACTCTGGGGACCCCCCTTGTGAGCCTCAGGAGTTGGTAGCTGTTGTTCTGAAGATGGGCTAGAACACAGTGTGGGAGGGTCTTGCCCTGTGCCTTGTTCCTGATGTGTGTGTTAGTGTGCCCTTGCCTCAGTCCGTGCAGAGACTGGGGACCCTGTAACTAACGGAGGCCCTGGGCAGTGCTGGCGCCCCGGCCCTCTCTTAGCACATCAGCCTCAGGTGGCCCTTTCTGGGAATGGACCTTCTTTGTCCTGCTCGGCCCTGGGTATGGGATTCTTACAGTGCCGTTGGCAGGTCTGAGATGGTAGCTGAAGATGCAGGTAGAGAGCTGAGGCCAGAACGGCTTTAGCACACAGACGGGGAGCCTTTGCCCCAGAGTGGAGGATGCTGGTAGCTCAGGCTGCCCCGCAGTATCCCGCAGACTGGGTGGCTACACAATAGAAGCTTGCTTCCTTACGGTTCTGGAGGCCGGAAGCCTGAGGTCAAGGGGAGAGTTGAGTTGGTTCCTCCTGAGGCCTCTCTCCTGGGCTTGCAGATGGCTGTCTTCCCACGGTGTCCTCACCTGCTCTTCCCTCTGGACCTGTCTGTGTTTTAATCTCCCCCTCCTGTAAGGACACCAGTTGTATTGGATTAGGGCCCATCCTTGTGACCTGGTTTTAACTTAGTGACCTCTGTAAAGACTCTGTCTCCAAGTACAGTCACATTCTGAAGTCCTCGGGGGGCTTTCACACAGAAATGTTTGGGAACACAGCTCAGCCCAGGCCAGGAGCCCGAAGGGAGGCTAGGGGCCCTGGGTCCTGCCGGTTACCTTCCCTCATATCCACACCCTTGGTAGGAAGGTTCTGGGTTGTCTTTTTCCAAATGTCTGCCTTATGTTAGCCGCTGAATGACATTTTACACGTCCCCTTCTAAATTCAAAAGGTGTGCACGTGGGCGTTTTCCTTCTTCCCTCCAGACAGCTCATACTGCCGTTGCTTTTTTTCTGAGAGTCCATGCCCCTGCGTAGAGAAGTCCTGGCGCCAGTGAGGAGGGGGAGCTGTCTCCTGCACCTCCCGCCCTGGTCATGCGTGAACCGTGACCTCCCCCGACTGCCACTGCCCTGCCAGAGAAGTGGGCTGTGCTGTCAGGATGGACTGTCTTTTGTAAAACAGGCCCCTTGCCCTCCTAGTCACAGCATAGGTGGGTGAAGGTAGCAGACCTCCTGATCTCACAGTGGATCAGAGAAGAAGCCACCGCTTTGTGGCCAGTGGCTCTACCCCTTCCATGCCTGAGACCAAGGGCAGGGCTCCAGGGCGGCTGGGTCCCTCATCTTGCCTCTTGGCTGCTCATTGCAGATGGCATGCAGTGCCGGAACCGTCAGGCAGGCGTGTGGGCTGCAGGAAGGTGGCCCTGCGATGCTTGGTCTGGGAGTGCTGTGCTCAGGCAGGCGGTCGCCCTCCTCGGACCTGTCTGCCCCTTTGTGTTGCCCGAGATCCTTCATCGGTGACACAGATTTGTTGTGAGTGATGCTGAGATTCTTTGAGATTTGGGACGAGTTTTCTTTCTGGCAAGGCTTTACAGTGTTGAAGAGGCACACCTGAAAAAGGTAGACAGCCATCTCTCACCAGCCCCGCGCCCACGTCCTGCATCACCGACAGCCTTGCACTTCCTGCCTTTTCTTCCTGGTCATGTCATGCAAAGGGAGCTCTCCTTCCCAGCCTCTGCATTCCGATAGCCTGATTAGGGACTGCTTGGCATGGACATGGCGTTGAAATAAAACTTCATTTCTCAGTTAGTCTTTGTGGCTTTGGCTTGAAATCTGATTACCACTGGCAGCTGACGGAGCAGGTCCACCTGTGTGGGTGGCTCTACTCGGTGGGGTGCCTCCTCCATCCTCCAGGAGGGAGACGCGGAGTCTGTGGCCATCCATAGCCCCATTTGACAAGTTTTAGTTCCTCGAGGGGTCGGCAGGTGTTGAATGAGACATGGCCTTCCAGGGAATGCTCTGGAAAGTAGTTTCACTTTTTAGGCCATGAAACTTTTCCTTGACTTGGGACACTCAGATGGGCTCCCTCCTGTCCATCAGGTGAATGAGTGAATGTGGGCACCCATGTGGTACTTGGTACTGCCCGAGTGCCGGGGCACCATGGTCGCAAGATGGCCCCAGCCCTTGCCTGCAAGGAATGTATTTTTGGTAGAAAGATACCCTATTTGGAACTCATGTTCTGCTTTACCTAGCAGTTGAAGCCCAGTCCCCTGGGGTTTCAGAAAAATGCTGTAAAGTGAGTCTGAAAAGAACTAGTCATTGTCAGAGTAGACTTCAGTTTACAGAGTGTCTCAGACGAGGGCACCCAGGTCTGGATGTGATGGGACCCGAGGTGGGAATCCCAGACCGTCTAGTGACGAGCCATGGCACTAGAATGGGGGAACCGGCTGCGCCTCAGGGCAACCCTCCCGCTGTCCTTCACTGCTCACTGCTTCTAAGAGCCAGCCCTGTTTGTTTTGGGGTCAAGGAGGGAGAGGCAGAAATATGCAAATGGTCCTAATGGTCTCAGTTTCCATTCTTTAGCTCTTGGACCCAAAGAGACCTCCGAGTGTTTCCCTCAGGCCTGTGATTCCTTGGGGACCATAGCTTGGCTCTCCCTTGTCCCCATTTTTGTTTACTTGTCTTGTTCTCATTGGAGAAGTTTTAGGGGTTGCCTGGGGTTCAAAGCATCACATCCCCAAATTCAGTGTCCACTGCAGCAGCTTCTGCCTTGCGGAGCTCAGCCTCAGAGAAAGAGCTCTGCTCTCCTGCTCATGGCCCTTGGAGACTGGCCCAGCCATGATGGGGCCGCTCTTGCTGGGCTCTTATTCACACAGGAGGGTGACTCTCATGACCCTGCTCACCCTTGGGACGCAGTCAGGGGAGGACTCATTATCATTACACCAGCCTACCGTAGCGTCACAGAGCTTGACTAAGGTCATTTCTCTGCCCAGATGCTCCAATGCGTGGTTCTTTCCCATTTACAGGAGAGTTTGAACCAAAAAACTTGCAGAAACTAACCAAGAATGGTATGCGTTGCATCTTGCTCTTTCCAAGGAAAGGAAACTTGTACAGTTGTGCCATGGAACTGTTTCACTCCTCGAGGTCCCATAGCTTTTCCCATCCGAAAGTTCTTTGAGAAACTCCTGTGTACCTTAATGTTGCCTCAGCCTTCCTTTTTTGACATCCTCTCAACTTTTGGCTTCTGTAACGTGAGCCCCCCCGATTCTCCCAGTTATCCTTTCCTATTTTTGTAGCCCCTCATTTTCCCCCCTAATAACTTTGCTTCACTGTCCTCCTCATAGGAGAGCACTCACGCATTCTCCCATTGAGTTCTTCTTGTCTTGTTTCTGCCTCACTTGGGGCACTTAACCTGCACACCTTGACTCTAATTTTGCACGAGCTTCCCTTCCTCACTGGATGGCACTGGGAAAGCTTGGGTCAGGCGTCATTCATATGCCTTGGCATTCCTGATCAGCCAGCGAGATTCCGCAACAGCATATTTAAGTAAAGTGTCTTTAAACAGAAACACACGTAAAACAAGGTTATGTATTGATTGGCTGATGAAAATGTGACCAGCTCATAGAAACCTAACTCTGTTATTCCCCTAGGGACAAAGACTCACCATCCACTAACTCAGTGCACAAGATGACTTTAAAGCAGTTCACTATACCACAAATAAGGAGAATTGCTCCACGTGTTCTTGGTCACACCAAATTCCTTGATATCCACCTGCCCCCAAATTGTTTTCATTCTTTTTTTAACCAGTTCAATTTAGGTATAATTCATTCAGCACGATAAACTGCACATATTTAAAATATGCAAACGGATACATTTTGACATATGTGAAGCCATCATCAAGTAACCAAGGTAATGAAAATATTCATCACCTCCCACACTTCCTGGTGCCCCTTTGCAGTTCTTCCTTCCCACCCTTTCACTGATCTGTTTTCTCTCAGTATAGATTGCTTGCATTTCCTAGAGTGTTGCATAAAGGAATCAGTTTATTTTATCTGGCCTCTGGCTATTTATTTTGAGATTCATCTATCAATAGTTCTCGTCTTCTTAATGCTAAGGAGTATTCCATTGTATAGATGCCTCACAGTTGGCTCATTCATCTGCTTCTTGATGGACATTTGGGTGGTTTCCAGGTTTTCGCTCTTTCAGACACAGCTTCCGTAGATCGCTTTATCTGTATCTGAGCTTCTTTCTGGGCTTCTAGGAAAGTGGTGTCCTTCCATTTTTCCTTCTTTCTGGATTGGATCTCTTCCTGCTGGGGTTCTGGGCGTCTGGATTGGGCATGGCTGTGGGTCTACCTGGAGTCTGAGCTCTGGCCTGATGCAGAGGGGTAGAAATGGTGAGGAGGGCAGTGTCCAAGGCAAGCCGAGGCTGGGACATGGTGTGTCACTCATAGGTCAGCGAGCTCTCGGACCCCATGGGTCATCACCTTTGTTCATTCTTGGCGAGTCTGATTAGCAGGCTTGGGGGCCACCAAGCGAACCACTATGGAACCTCAGAGTGTACCCTTGTTTATTGACTCCATTCATGTCATAGCTGGGTAGAGATGATTCCTGGGAGAGCTGTTCTCTGACAGCCTAGGATGTTGTTTGGAAGGGCCCATCCATCCTTCTGACCAGTGAAGAGTTATTTTGGGACCCAGGAGATGAGGGGAGGCTTGATGCTGGGACCTAGGGTAATTTGTTGTCCAGAGTGTCCGCTGTCTTTGCTCTCCTTCTAAAGTGGCTGGCATAGTTAGGTTGGAGACTTGCATATCCTTTGTGATGTACAAACCTGTCTCTTCGGGTATTGACAACAGGCTGTTTGACTTCACAGATGGGGGTAGGCATGGGAAACCTAAGCATATACTCCTCTGTATAGCTCTGTCTGTGGTCGGTTATTAGAACTGCGGGGCTGTGTTCCCTAGCACTTCTAGATGTTTTGCCCCAAGAGAGACTCTTGGCAGGCTCGATGTGTGCGGTGATCGTTGGAGCTTCTGTTGAATAGGATTGCCCTGAAATGGAGGCATAGGGGGAGAATGGCAACCAGTGAATACCTCCTCCGTGTGCACACCTGCTTAGGTGGAAAACAAGAAACAGTGCAGGAAAGCCCTTTTCATTTTATTTATTTTGTTCTTTGTCCAGCAAAGTTAACTTTTCAGAAAGGTTTTCTATATGAGTGGTAATAGCAGAGTCGACCAAGATATTGCTTATGGTCATCCTTGAAATTTATTATTAAAAAAGAAGATAACATTTGCAAAGAACTTTCTGCCTTGGCAGCTCCTAAGGGAGTTCGGTTCCTGAGGTTGAGAGGGAGCTGGTTTTAGGGTACTTCCCTAGTGGGAGCTGCCAGAGGGCTCCTCTGTGGTTCTGTAGACAATCTGCAGGCCAGACATTCCAACTGTCTTCATGAAATAGATTCTTCCTTTTTTTTTTTTTTGCCCCCACTCGGGAGAGCAGGGCCAGCCAGACAACAATCTCATCAAGGGAGTAGCAGGATCAACAGGCTACAGTCTGTCCTAAATTGAAAGGAAGATTAAAATTTTTTTTAAGTTACAGTTTCAATTAAGAGAAGATGGAAGAATGTAATAACATGAGGTGAGATTTATGATAAGGAGTACAAACTCCACTTGAATTCTTACATTTAAAGCATTTCTTGCTTTCAGAAGTAATAGAGCTATGGACCTGAAGATGGGATGGAGGAGGGAAGAGGGTAACCTTTCAAAGGTGCCCTCTCTTTGTACTGTTAATGGTTATTTTGATGGATTTCTTCATAGACAAACGAGTTGATGAGTGGGGGTCCAGAGTGGGCGTGATTGGTGCAGATGATTGCATTAGAAGATGATTACTTAGTTACTGCAGTGTTTAGAACCAGTGGAAGAAAAATGCTTTGAAAATGACAAATTCTGCAAATTATACAAACTTTCTAAGAAAAACTTCTGGAGGTTATTTATAGGAGCTCTCGTAATATAGGAGGAGTGTAGCCAGAGTAGAAAAAAAATCTATGTTTATTGAAGCAAAAGTATTTAAAATTCTATTTCATAATTATACATTAAGGAATTTTATAGCAATCCAAAGGCATGGTGGCTCATGCCTGTAATCCCAGCACTTTGGGAGGCCGAGGCAGGTGGATCACCTGAGGTCAGGAGTTTGAGATCAGCCTGGCCAACATGGTGAAACGCTGTCTCTGCTTAAAATAAAAAAATTAGCTGGGCGAGGTGGTGGGCGCCTATTATCCAAGCTACTTGGGAGGCTGAGGCAGGAGGATGGCTTGAACCTGGGAGGTGGAGGTTGCAGTGAGCCGAGATTACACCACTGCACTCCATCCTGGGTGACAGAGCAAGACTCCACCTCAATAAAAGAAAAACAATACAAATTTTACATAAAATTGACTAATGTGTTTATAAACATCTAGACCTTTGGAGTTTGACCAATCTTGGCATCCTCTTGATGGTGGTCTAGACCCACCCACCCTTTTATAGGTGAGAGAACAAGAGTTTTTATTTAATATGTCTTTTAATTTAGCACCTCTTTATAAAGTAGGGGTTCTCATTTCTTACAGCCTTTTGGAAACAAATGTCCTAGTAGCCTTTCCCTGGTTTGAGGATTAGAGGAGTTACATTTTACACACGTGGGTTTCACTGTCTCTCTGAAACCTGATTATTTTACTTCAAAGTCTTTGTGGTGAAGTTGGGTATCATTGCCCTTTACACAGTGCTATTCCAGGAGCACTGTGGGGTCCAAAGGCCTCGGTCCCTACCACAACAGCTAAACACGGGTTGCTTACATTCCTGAGCCCCAGGCTCCTCCTCAGTGACCCTCAGGGTATTATTAGGAAGAATGAAAAGGAAAACGGAAGTCAGTGCTTAGCTGAGAACCTGGACCATCATAAATGTTCCACAAAGCCTTGTTCTTTACCCCCCACCCCATCCTTGGTACCCTGATTTTATCAGCATTCTCCCAGCCTATTCTGTGTGCCTTCACCTCTGTGGTTTTGTTATGCTGTTTCTCCTGCCTCTTTTCTCCACTTCTGATTTCTTTCTCCACTCCACCACTTTCCCGAGCTCACTTCTCAACATCAGCTGTGACACCCTCCTCAGCTGCTGTGGTGACCACTTGTGTCCATCTGCATGGCACTTGGCCTACAGCAGGCAGTGTGCAAGCAGGCATGTACTGTCTGATGTCCACTTCTAACACTAGCAAGCAGCTGCTCTGTCATGGGCTATGGGGCCTCCTTCAGGGTGATGGGCAGAGAAGAGGAAAACCCATACCCAGGGCTTCCTTAATTAATCCGATTCCACAGGACCCTCTTAAAGATGGGGTGATTACATTCACTTGTTAGAGCAGATCTACTCCCTCCCCACCCTGAAGCAACAGTGTCACTAGCATCAGCAGGTGGGGATGAGAACAGTCCCCAGCCCGCCTTCTGGAATTTTCCACCTGCATGTATGCGTCCTGCCTTGTAGAATTTTCCACTTGCACGCATGCATCCTGCCTTCTAGAATTTTCCACCTGCATGCATGTGTCCTGCCTTCTGGTATTTCCTACCTTCACACATGTGTTCTGCCTTCTAGAATTTCCCACCTTCACACATGCCCTCTGCCTTCTGGAATCCCACCTGCCCATGCGTCCTGCTTTCTAGAACTTTCCACCTGCACACATGCCTCCTGCCTTCTGGAATCCCACCTGCCCATGCGTCCTGCCTTCTAGAACTTCCCACCTGCACACATGCTTCCTGCCTTCTGGAATCCCACCTGCCCATGCGTCCTGCCTTCTAGAACTTCCCACCTGCACGCATACGTCCTGCCATCTGGAATTTCCCACCTGCACGCATGCATCCTGCCCACTTGTTGTCTCCCATGCCTTTCCTATCTCAGTGCCTGGAGATGCCTTCCTTCTACCTGCCGAGGCCAGAGGTTGCCACTCCGCTTTTCCTTCACATGTCCCACCTGCTAATTCAGAATGCATCACTTCTCCCCGGAGCATCCAAGGCCCAGGTGCAGGATTCTGCTAACTGATTTCTCAGCTTCTCTCCTCTCAGGCAGCCTATTTTCAGCAGAGAAGCTGGGGCCCCACGGAGCTGCTCTGCTCCATGCTTGCATGCCATTTCTCTTCGCATCAGAGCAGGGCCTTCACAGTGAGCGCAGCACCCGCGTGCTTAGTCAGCTGGGGTGAAACGGAGGAGGAGGGGGGAGGGAGAAAAATCCCAAAGGGTTGGAGAGGGGGTAAATCCATCTTTGAAAATGTTTCACTTCACTTCTCCTCTTGAGAGAGCTGCCTTGCTAGATTAAAGGCTGCAGAAGTGCTGGAAGAGAGGAAAACATTTGACTTCGTAGAAAACCTGAACTTGTTTGTCTGTAAAGTGCCTTTTGTTTCCGTGGATTTGGAAGGAATGGTGGGGACCGGCTCCAGAGTGCTGCTTTGCGTTGCAGGTTTCCTCCTCAAGAGCAGGAGTCCCAGCACCAGGCCTGGTTCAGCTGCCGCTCCTGGGCTTCTGGCTTAGGGATAAGTCTTTTGTCTTCCTCGCTGTAGTGCCCACCGCCAGCAACCGTGACGCTGAAAGTTAATGCTTCAAATAAGTTTCGAGAGAATTTCACTGCAGAAACGGGGGCTTCGGAGAGACTGCTGATTTAAGGGGTTAGACAGCGGGTTTTGAACATGCTTTGTCAACGCCTGCAGAGGGATCCAGAGAGAGAAAGCAAGAGCCAGAGGAGGACAAGGTTAAGAGAAAGGTCCCTTTACTTCCCCCCATCCTTCCCTCCTAAAGTGGGAAATGCACAGAAATGTTCATGGGCCCAGGAGACGGAGGACGTGGGCAGGAAGAAGTCATGAATGGAGGCCGAGAGCACAGGATGGCTCACATAGGTCCAGGCCAGGGGAGCCTTGGGGACTGGAGGCCTGGGGGGCAGAGACTGGGTGGTGTATAGGCCGGGAAGTGGTCTGGGTGTTCTGCAAGGAGGGGTTTGGGGATGCTGCACTGGAAAGGGTGGGGGCGGGAAGTTTAGAGCAGTGAAGGAAAAGCCTCTTTTGAGGAAAAGCCTCTTTTGTGGAAAAGTGAGTAGCTGAGGGTGAATGAACATTTGCGGCACAGCAGAGAGAGTCCGCAGGGAGTGTTTCTGGTGATTGCTGTTAGTGGTTGCTGTGACTATCTTGGTGCTGCTGAGGAAAAGCCCGTAGGAGTCCACACAGTTCCTGGGTCTGGCGGTGTCACCCAGGGGGTGCCCGCTCCTCCCTTATTTCATTAGAATCCTGGTCTTAGGTATAAAGGAAAATAAATTGCTCCTCGGTTTACAGGATTTACAGGGTTGCATCCTGATAAACCCATCATAAGACACAAATTTCTTAAGTTGAAAATACATTCAGTGCTGACAACACAGTAGATGGTGCCCAATCTGATGATGGTTGGACTCTTTTAATTTTAATTTTTTGATCGAATAATGGTTTGCGTTTTTGGCTTTTTGATGGTGTGAAATCCACAAGCGTTCTGTAGAAACTACAACCCAAATGGTAAGTTGTAAGGAGAGTCTCAACTAAAAACGAGGTTACATGCTCATCAACCCATCGTAAAGACGAAAAATCCCGAGTTGAACCATCGTCAAGTTGGGAACCATCTGTACAGCTGTCACTTCCTCAGAAGAGACCAGGCTTTTTCTGGGGCATGTGTGGGTACACACTGCCACGCCTCTTTCTCAGCGGCACCCAGGGCAGCATCCTTACAGCTCAGACACTGGACTCTGGGGCCCCATTGGGAAGACAGCGAATCACAGGCCTTGTTCAAAATTTGCCGAGAAAATGAGATTAAGATCTGATGCCACTGTCTTCCATATTTCCTAATTTAACCAGAGAGCTCACTTTAGCATCTAGAAAGTGTGATTAACTTTTTGAGGCCTTTTCTTTAGGTGAAAAGAAGTCTTCTATGAGTTATTTGGATTTTATTACAAGGACAAGTGGTTTACTATCAGGTGTTGATTGGAATGACTTTGGAGCGCATATAATTTATAAAGTGTTTAAATCTGAATCCAAGGGCTGCTTTATAGAGCATCTTTTATTTTTCAGATAAAGTTCTAGCCGTTTTTCTAACAATTACAAAATTCAGTATTTTTAGGCAGGAAAGACAGATCTGAATGGTTTTGATTTTCCTTCCTGTTGGCTTCATCTATTCCCAAAGGAAGACAGTGCTTCTGGACCCGTGGGGCGGGGTAGTTGGTAATGTGTTGTCATGGTAATTGCTCCCGACTTTGTCTTAATTGATTTGGTCTCTTAATTTTTGTCTCTCTTTTTGTAATTTAAATGTACAAAGATCTGTTCCTTGGAAGACGGCCAAAGGCGTTCAGTAATTCGTAAGAATTTATAAAATTCGAGCATCAAGGATTATCAGAAGTAATGATTCTAAAGGTAGAAACAAATCTTTAATGATTTAGAAAAATACTAACATATCAGAGAAAAATAAGTTCTTTTAAAAGGAACCCAATTTTAAATCTGTATTTAAATAATACACATTGTAAATTTAAAATTACAGTTGATCCTTGAACAACATGGATTTGGACTGTGTGAGTCTATTTATATGTGGAGTTTTTTCAGTAATTACTAGAAAATTTTTTGGAGATTTGCGACAGTTTGAAAAATCTTACAAACAGCATAGCCTAGAGATGCCAAAAAAGTTAAGAAAAGGCTATGTCGTGAATACATAAAATATATGTAGAACACTAGGCTGTTACTGTAAAATATATACAAATCTGTTATAAAAAGTTAAAGTTTGTCAAAACTTAAACACAGACCATACATGGAGCCATTTGCTGAGAGAAGTGTAAAAAAATCATGAAGGTGCGGTATGAAATCATAACTGCATAGAATTAACTGTAGTATGTCCTGCACTTAATTTCATAGTTATGAAATAATTACTGCACTACTGTTAACAATTCCACTGTTGCCGTGAGCTCAAATGTTGCAAGTATCCACTTGAAATGCTGTGTGATGCCAATCATCTCTCTGTGAGAAGCTCCCTTCCCAGTGAGTTGCTCATCGCATTAAAAAGTGACCTCCTGTAGGTCTTGTGTGTTTCTCGTGTTTAATGCAATACAGTGAAGTTTGAATAATACAGGGGACCCATACAAAGTGCCGCTAGTGAAGCTGGAAGTGCTCCCAAGGAGCTGACTTTATTTTAAGAATACAGTATGTAATACATATACCATGTCAAATGTGTGTTAATTGACTTTATGTTACTGATAAGGCTTCTGGTCAACGGTAGACTGTTAGTAGGTAAGTTTTTGGGGAGTAAAAAAATTGTACATGGACTTTTAACTGCATGGGGCGTTGGTGCTCCAACCCCTACCTCATTCAGGGCTCAGCTGTGTAATGGTTTTTCCTCTCTCCCCATTTTCTCCATACCAGTATTCCCAGGGTGCATAAAGGCAGGATGCTTTGTCCCTGAAGCACCTGATACTGCTCCCTCCCTGCTGTCCTTTTCTTTGACTCCAGCCTGCTGGCCTGTGATGGTTCCACGCGGTTTCCTTTCTTTTCCATGAGGTCTTGTGGTGGTGGTGTTGCAGCGCCTGCGTCCTAACCTGTGTGATTGAGACAGTACCTGACCCGTTCCACGGTGTGTTCAGGCTTCAGTGTACACATGGGCTCCTCTTGTCTGCACATACCTACCACAGCAGGGCTAGGTATCCAGTCTCCGGTGAATACGGCTGTAAGAAGACTGCACGTGGAGGTGGCCTTCATCACCCTTGCCTCTTTTCAGGGCTAGAAGACTGGTGTTTTTCTCTGATGAGGCTTTTAGGGTGGAGGGATTTGAGGATCTTCTGCCTGCGGATAGCCTAGTCTGTTTTCTGTGGTTACCTTTGCTCAGATTTTTTCTTGACTTCTCTTGACTTTCTGGGTCTCAAATCAGGTGGGTCACTGCATTAACAGTCCTGCCCTGGGCCTTCATGCCTGTGTGTGGACCACAGCAAGGTAAAAGTAAAGACCTTTCAGTGCTAGTGGTGAGGGTGCCTAGAAAATGAAAAGTAATTTCTGGTGTTGGCCTCTCCTGGTTCTCCTGAGTAGGATCTCTCTGTTGGAGTTCCCTGCTGTTCTTCAGGACTCAGGGTCTGGATCTGCGGAGAGCAGATCCCAGCCCTGACTAGGTAGCTAGGCAGTGGGAGCGACTGCTGGCCAGGTTGCTTGGAGTCTGCCTCATCGGTTGAGTGGGGATGATGCTGGTGTCTCTGCACCACAGGTTTGTTTAGGAGACTTGATGCTCCCCACAAATGGCAGTAGGGATGTGGCCACCATAAAGTGGCAGTGTGCTTAGCAGAGCTGCGTGCTCTGACCCACACTCACATTTCAAAGCCATCGTATCGATATAAGAATCTGCGCTTTTCTGTTGGGAGGCTGAGCAGACTACTGAGGTGGAAGGAACTGTAGATGCGTGAGTGGAATACGCCACACAAGTCTTTTCCAAACCGCTGAGAATAAAAAACTCAAAGGTCACCCTCATACCTATGGTTACCTATAGACCCTTGTACCTAATAACGTGCAATGAGGTCATTCTTTGCGGGAGATAATTAAAATAGCTCTTGAATCTATGCCTTCTCCCCCTTCCCCCATCAATGCATTGTGGAAGAAAAGTAGAAATTGGTGTTCAAAAAGGCATTCTTTGTATTTGCATAGACCAAAAAACCCGAGGTGTTTTTTTTTTTGTTTGTTTTGTTTTTTGTTGTTGTTGTTGTTGTTAAGGCAGGAAGCCGAACAGGTACATCTTCGAGTTAGGAATCTAGAACCCAGGATTCAGTTAGGGCATTTTGAGGAACTGAGTATAGTTTTTACTTCAAGCACTGTGGTAACAGCGGGTTCCCCCTTCCCAGCTCCCAGGAAGTGGGATGTGATTCTTCAAAGCTTTACTGAATTTTTCCCCCCATGTTTTTCCCCCTGCAAACATAGAAATGAACACTAATTTAAAGAAAAGAGATGAGTGGTGGGGCTCACCTTTGGAAACACCTGGGAGCTCGTAACAGTATTGTCCCCAACTCCTTCCATATCCTGAGATTCATTTTCCTTGGTCTGGGATGCCGCCTGGACATGCAGAGTCTTCCCCTCTCCCCACTGTGATGTAATGTGCAGCCCGGTAGTTGGGACTAGGCCAGCAGTAGAATCACCTAAGGGCTTGTGGAAGCATGTGTTACGGGACCCCACCCCCTCCACTGAGTTTCTGGTTTAGTAGGTCAGGGCCTGGGCTTCAGACTTTGTATATTAACAAGCCCCTAGGTGATTCCCATGCCGTTTGTCCAGGGACCATCATTTGAAAACCCTAAGACTCTAGGATTCTGGTTAAGGGCATAAACTCTTGGACCGAGCTCTGCCTCCTTCACTGAGTCCCATCACCATTCCTTGGGTCTTCATCTCAGCACTTCATTTTCCAGTTGTGATCAGGCTGTGTGTGTGTGTGTGTTTACACACAGAATACATAAAGAGCACTGAGCCAAGGGCCTGCTATTAACAGGTACTTCAGAATCTTCTTTCCTTCTCTTGACAAATTATGGTCATTGATTAGTTCTTCCATCCAAGGTAGGTGGAGTTTGGGTTTTACTCAATTTCTTCTTCACTATTTATATTTTAAGTATTTTTACTTTAGGTTTTTTTTTTTTTCTGATTTGGGTATGTACTTTATGTAAAAATTAAAATTTCAGCAAAATTACTGTATGATCAAAAATCGTTGTATGTCATTGTTTAAAATTTCGTATGTTTTTCTTGACTATGCATTTAAGAGATTTGTCTTTTATTATATTTTTTTGATTTTAATACATTTTGTTATGCTTTGCTTTCTGATTTGTTTTTGACTATTTTCTTTCTGATTCAAGATGGATGGATTGGTGTTCATTTATTTTGTCTTTATAAAAGATGTCAGTGTCTCATGGCTTCATTTTGTCTTGACACATGGGGGTCTAGCACTGTATTCTATCTTTATTGCCTCCTTGAATCAGTTATTTAGGCCAGAGCTTGTTTTTAATTTTCAAGTGCCTGATTTTTTTTTTTTTTTTTTTAAGGCATATGTTACTAATTTATGGTTTTCTTGTATTTGGCTGTAGCATGGAGCCCCTTGGCACATTGGCCTGCGGTCCCTGTCTCAGTGCTGGACATGGGGAGTCCGTCTGCAGCTGTATGCAGGCTGGGAGGAGGCGGCCTGCAGCAGGTTTTTTCTTGGGGCCGTGTTCTGTATCTCCAGAGATCTTTGCATTTTTGAAAAATGTGCTGCTATTCTTTGTGGTTTATAGCATTTAAAAAAATACTAATGTTGCAAATGTTTATAAATATTTGCAAATGCTTGTTTTTCATAAATATAAATGAATGCCTTCTCATTACCCATTATCCCAATTTCTTTGTCCTGCATAATAAACCAACATCTGCAACAACTAGTTTCCCTCAGTTTCTCCTTGAGAGTCTCATAGTTTTTGTTGATTGTTTTAATGTAGACTTTTTATTAAACCTGCTTTTAATTGTAGATTTGTGGATCTTGATACCTTGCTGTTTGGAGGATAAAGGCCTACTACTGTTTTTATTCATTATCGATTATGCTTTTATCAGTGTGATATGCTTTTTAGTATTTGGATTATTGTTTCTTTGCCTTAAGTGACACTTGACTATCATGGCTACCATTGCTTTTATTTTGCTTGCATTGTGTTTGGTTTTTATATCTACCCATTCTGTCTTTTTCTTTTCTAGCTCCCTTTTTAAACCTTTTCTGTTTG